CTTTGTATAAAAACTGTTAACTGCTACTGTGGAAATACTCCGGGGGGTTGGGGAGGGGGCGCGATGGTGATTTTTGGGGGTGGGAGGGTTGTTTTTATGGGCTTAGCCTTCTCGGACAAGCAGGGAATCTTAAGCAGCAGGTTTGCTCTATCTACTCTATGCTGATGATGATTTACAATAATGAGCCAACATAATTATTATTCATGAATTATTTATACAGATGAACTATATGACAGTTTTGATAAGATATTGCATTAAAGTCACAATCAGAAGCTTAGTGGGTGTTCTGTATGCCACCAAATCATCCTGGATATTGATGTAGCTTTTTGCTTTTGTGTTCTTATTTATGCATCTAAAAACAAAATCCTGCTATTAGCTGTGTGAAAGCACAATAACATCCACATTTTTTTTTTCTGAGTTGCTTAAGACAGTAAGAGTTTGAGTGAATGGCTCAAGGATCACGCAGGTCCAAAATTAACCAAGTACCCATTAGCTGGTTGTTTCACACCTGAAAGTTCCACTTGTTTGGGGGAGGGAAAAAAAAGGAGCCAGCAGATGCATGACTACTGTCCCCATTCAGTGCTTTTTTTTTTTTTTTTTTTTTCTCTTCTTTTTTTGTTTGTTTTTTACTCCCCAACAAGTCAACCTTAAACTTTAATCATGCCTCTTCCTCTCTCTGTATTATTTAATGGACTGTTGTTAAACTTTTACTGTAGTAAGTCTTCCTCCGCCTGAGTACAGCCTGCAGTGTTTCTACTTCCCCTGTAGTGTGCTTTTTCTAGTGCTGGTACTGTCTCCTCGAGGCTGAACTGATGGCAGGGAAAGACTTATTGGAAAAAAGGGCATTTGTTTTCATTTCTGTATAAGAATAATGAGAAAAAAAAGTCTTTAAAGGGAGCTTTACTAAAACTCCACCTTCCCATACTACTTTGGTTCCTCCTTCCCTTAACCTAAGACCTCACATGATTTTAAAATGCAAAGTTGTAAAAACTGTAAATATACTATATGCATTGAGGGAGGGGGGGACAACAGCTCTTTATCCAGACCCTTTGTAATCAAAGTCAAAAGTGTAGAAAAATAAAATTGGAAAAAAAAATCAACCACTGGATATCATTTTAACAAAGATAAAGCTGTACATAAATATAAATATATGTAAAATGGCAAACTAATATCTTTATGTATATGAACCAGAGTGTTTTGCATTTACTTGTTTTTTCTATTAGTGTTTTTTGCTATAAGCTTTCAGGTGAGTTTGTTAAAAATAGATGTGAGGAAAATGTCCGGGGTTCTCGACGAGAAGCCGACGTGATAACGAGGCTGTTTGGATTCACGCAGAGAGTTGTTAATTAGACATGGAAAAATCACTTCTTGCATACAGCAGTACAATGGTGCATAGCATTTGTATTTATGTAATATTGTTCATGTTTATTTTTTTCTTTTTATTTATGCTACTGCTTGTTGATTTACCAAAACCTCCCCCTTTAATCGGTCAAAATTGGATTCATATAGTCTTGAATGGACAAATCTTGAATTCCCTAGAATATTGTTAGTGTTTTGCTTTTTCTTTTTTTTCCCTTTAATATCTTCCCTATAGAAGTGAATGTGTTGGTTAACATTGTGAAATGGTTACTTGGCCTGATGTATGTTATGATGTAATAATCAAAGTTAATCCCATACTTAACCTGGTAATGAATTGCACTCTCGTAGTATAACAGAAACTTTCTCTGAAGTGGTAGATATTGATCAAGTATCCGAAGCAGTGATATATATACATATATATCTATATTTTTTGGTATGTTTCTATTCCAAGGGAAGAACACGAGACATTATGCCGCTCACTGGATTTCCGCCTGAATAATTTTTAACTTCTCTGAAACTTAATTTAAGTTCTCTGCATATCTTATAATTTAATAAAGGTTGCTCATAATTTGATTTTTTTTTTTCTTTTTAACCTCACGTACTTTAAAATACAAAAAAAAAAAAGATGTTGCATCTGTACAGCAGAGATACTTTTAGGGAATATGAATAAATATAATGATCATTTTTATTGTATGTGGCATGTTTTATATGGATATTATTTTGAATTGTACATATTTTTTTCAGGACGCCAGAGGTTGCATCTCTTTATATACTGGTTTTCCACTTCCTTTCCCCTTCATCTTATTTCTTTGTCTTTTGTTTCTTGTAAAGGAAAAATAAAATGCATTTTAAATATGTGCTCATTTTCTATTGTCAGCACATGACCACGAAGCTTGATACTTGGGTCAACCGATGGTTATATGAACCGTTTTTACTCGTGGTGGTCCTACTGGTCAGTAAAGGGATGCTTTGCTATTCTATACATGAACCAAGAAAATCCACTAAATTATTCTGGGAAAACAAAGCTTTCACATGGCACTTGTGCAAACCATAGGATGATGCCAAAAAGCAGAGTAAGAGCACTCCCATCATGGTTATAATTCTTAAATTGGTCATTTGTAGATTTTAGATTTGAAGTTCCAAACAAAAACCTCTAAAATAAACGTGTTTTATTGCTTAAAAATCTCAATTATATTCGCATACAGGCCAACAGAAAGTAAACAAGTTGTACCATTGTCCTTGTCAGCGGATAAGGTCTGTGAGCTGTGTGCTTTTAGCTGGTAGGATTGAAAGAGTGAATTAAATAACCGGGTTCCTGGAACCAGTATATGCAGAAGAGCATCTCTGAAAGCACAGCAGATGGGCTACAGCAGCAGCAGACCACACTGGTGTCGCTCCCGTCAGCTAAGGAAAGGAAACCGAAGCTAGAATCAGCAAAACTGGAAAATCATTGCCGAGTCTGATAAGCCATCATTTCAGCAACATTAGGGATTGAAGGGTCAGAATTTGGTAAAACACCTGCCATGTATGGATGTATGTCACAAAGTCTTAATGAACTAGCAAATGTAGTTTTTGGTAATGCTGTATGACTGAGGGCGTAGTGGTATTAAATTATATTTACATGCACATACTTAACAGCTAGGTACACTACAATAAAGGGGGTAGCAAGTCAAGTATAATTATTTCTTTGTAAGAACCTAAGAGTAAAAAATAAATAAATAATAGAAAATCCAACATGCACATCAACATAATGACTGAGATAAAAACACTGGGAGGGGCCAGCGGCACCCCTCAGCCTCCTGCTAGATAGATCTATGGTAATAAATCCTACGTCGCATTGTTCACAAGTTATCACAGTCACAAGCTTTTCAAAAAAAGTTGACCTCTGACCCTTGATCTTGAGATCGAGGTCAATGAGATTTGAACTTGAACTGTTGAGATTTTTAATAGGTCCACCTGTGGTGTCAATTTCAAAATCGTAGGTGACTTCCTACTCAAGCTATCGCATTCACAAGATTTTCAGAGAACTTGACCTCTGACCTTGAGGTCAAAGTCACCGATGTTCAAACCAGATTTTCAGTAGAGAAACTGATGATACTGGCTGTATCCCAGCTCAGGGTCTGCAGCCTTAAAGTACGCATTTCAAGGCCGATTACGTCACAGCGGCGCGCCGAAGGCTGTCCCAATTCAAAGGCTGCTCAAAATGCGGCCCTGAAATGCGTCCTTCATTTCCCTGAATTTTAAGGATGTGGCAGTGTAGACTTCGTGGCCCAACATATCCCAGAATGCATAGCGCGGCGGTGCGTGTGGATAAATTTGCCGAAAAAAACAAAAAAAACAAAAAAAAAAAACTGCGGATGAGGGGCTCCCGAAGAGTGAACTTTAAGTACTGAATATTACGTCACTTATGTGCAAATGTTTAATAACGAAGAACATTAAACATTACTGTTGGCCACATGTCGGCAAAGTTATGTGACATTAGTGACGTTTGTGCTAACTTGGTTTTAAAGCCTTTACTTTAAAATATACACCGATCAATAGCTGAGCTTAATCAGAGAATGATCAAAGCTCATGTAGAAACAAACAAATGAACAAAAGATTTTCTCCTTCATTTCTGTCAAACACAGCTGTATGACACGTTTCCAGCTGTTAGTATCATGGTTGCTAGGCAACATGGGCAGCGCAACGGAGGCTAGACCGTCCCATTTCACAAGCCTCGCACTTCCGGCCTTAGCGGTCTTTGAGTACGCGGCCCTTGAGGATCGTTGAGGCTGCGTACTTTAAGGCTGCAGACCCTGAATTGGGATACAGCCATAGACGTGAAACTGCTATGTCGCTTCGTTCTGGAGTTTTAGCTTTCACGGGTGTCCACGTCACCTGCCCGTCTGGCAGGGTGACGACAATCAGCTTTTTATGGCTGTGGGGGGGAAATGCAAGTCACTCCATAATATGCCCCCCAACAATATAACAAATTTATAATGTAAGATGGGCTAATATTGATTTTCTGTAAAACTACCAGGTAATTAAAATACTACTTACAATTATTTACTCCATGCAGTACTTATTACTTAAGCACTACTTAAATGTACTTCCACTGTAATTGTTTCCTATAAGAACCTGAGATGTTACCAGTCATTGTAGTGCACCTAAGTATTTGTATGTAAATATAGTTATATTGTAATTTATAATCCCCCATCAGTGTATTTTGTCTTTAGTCACAAGCCATAATTTAAAATATTATCTTCTTTATGAAGAAAAAAAAAACAAACAAAAAAAACAAAACAAGAGAAAACCAAACATCTGAAATGAGCACTGGCCAGAGTCACGGATAAGAAAAAGAGGATTTTATTGTATATCATCTATGTACACCTTTGAACTAATTCTGAAAAGATCTGCACAATATTATTTTTTATTACCTATGAACAGGATGTCTGATGGTCATATACCCATGGCAACAAACCAAACATGGACAGGAGTGTTTTGACAATTTTGGTTCAACTGACAGCAGTCGCCCACTTCCCCTCCCTTCTTTTATTCACTTCCCTCTGCCCGCTGAACTTCTACCCATGTTAACAGTAGCAGCAACATTTCTGGGGTACACAACCAACAACACAAACAGAAAACAAAAACAACAAAAACAAAATAAAAAACAACAACAAAAAGCACACAGGAAATGGTGGGGGGAAAAAAACAAACAAAAACAAAACAAAAAACATCATCTCTTAAGTTTATCTACCTCAATGCAGAGGACCCAGTGTTTGAGACAGCATGCAAAAAATGGATACCAACATGACACATGGATTCTGGATCAAGTGATGGCGTAACTAACGTTAACTAATCGCCCTTGTGGACATAACAGTGCAGAGCCCGATGGTGACAAATGTCAGTGTAATACTTTCATAGTCTCGTCTGGAGACGGACTCAAAGTCAGATGTAGAATGAAAACATGCAGTTTCTCTTTACAGCATGTCAGTCTTTGACAGTAAAACTCCCAACTACATTTTACATCTAACCACATGTTCCCTGTGCACGAACTGTCAGCAATCGTCTGGATTTCTGAATAAACAGCCAGTGGCAGTATCAGAATAGTAAGGTTTACAAGAAGCTGCTAAGTATTCCAGTGTCATTGAGAAAGATGTCACCCCAGAAGACGTATGTAGAAACAGATCTGCATTACTCAGCTCTTGAAAGAACTCAACAAGCACCTGCAATAGTTGTGTTTATATAGATTTAAAAAATTAAATTAAATTAAAAAAAGGAAGTTGCAGCAAAATGGCCTGGGATCAGTAGTACCACCAAATTACCATGAGAGGAGCAAGTGAAATACAAATTCCAGCAGATATCGCAATCCTTTCCTCGGACAGTCAGAAACCATAGACGGATCAAACAGATGCGTGAAAGTACCATCAGATTAAAATCACTGATCAATGTCACACTGGAGCTTGTGGCATAGAAGGAAAAAAATAAAACAAAATGCATGTTGTATATACAAATCATATGTACCCATCATCAGTAGTGTCTAATGTTAAAGCCAGAAGAAAAAACACCCATCATGATCTTTTACACAAAAAATATATATATTTTAAAAAGAAAAGATTGTTTTCATTGCCTTTTCATACGCCTCTTATTTGGCCCGTGTGTACTACGTCTTCACCTGTCACCGCCAGAGGGTTATGGCTGCATTCATTTTTCAAACAGCATCTTTACTTTAAAAAAAAAAGAAAAGAAAAGAAAAAGAAGAAATTAAATTTAAAAAATAAATGAATGCAATAACCCACGACTCTGAAGACTTTGACTGAACTACGACATTTAATTTTGTGGTTTGTCACATCTCATCTCACAGTGTTCATCATTATGTAGTAAAAACTATGAACAAATAAATAAAACCATCCCAAGAAGAAAAAAAAATTAGAATAAATTCAACATTATCCCTGCCACATTTCAAACTAAACGCCAGGACTGGACCGCATCTGCTATGTGACACCTGCCCGGTCTCACATGTGATGAGGAAGCTACAGTTGAGTGCAACTAATTTGTGTTTGAAGATTCAAGTGAGGGAATAAAATGAGGGGAAAAAAAGCACAATCCAGCTGTTCATGCTTAATTACCACATGTCCAATAACTGATTTTCTCTAATGAACTACAGCCTACACCAGTAGACATTGTAGTGTCTTGGGAACATGCTAGTAGTCCAGACACCTTTTACTTACACACACGCGCACACACACACACACACACACACACGCACGCGCACACACCTATAAAAAACAGTGCTTCAGCCTCTTTCCCCTCCTTACAGCGACAGAATATGATGTTGTATGGCCAACACAATGGAAAGTTATGTGTAATCGTTCCTAAACTTGAAGCCCACGACATGCCTGACTCTTCTGGACGACTTTAGTCCATGTTGGACAATTTCAGAGAGGTTAAAAGGAAAAACAAGAAAACAGATGATCAAAAACAGAAGATTCTTTTCACTGTACAAGAGTTCTACTTCCTGCCATGGGAGATGAAAAAAGAAAGGTTGAGTGTGATGATATTAACAGTGGTAGTGCTGTAGTGTTGTGGCCCATGGAGAAGGGAGTCAGAGGGAAGGAGGAAGAGACGTGAGGAGCTAAAGGGAGGCAGGGGAAGGGAGAGAAAAGTCAGGAGGAGGAGGAGAAGGGTTGATTCTCAGTAGTTTTGGCTAAAAAGGTGAGGTAGGCCTTGTCACAACTTGGAGTGTGGCTTTAAAACTGGCAGGGTTTTCATTTGCAGTCTGTCTTTAGTGTTTCTTTCCTATGGGAGTGTTGTCTGGTTGTGCGTCTCCAGAGTGTCTTTCTGCCGCCTGTACGCTCACATCTTCACATCCTCCTCCACGCTGAGCTGAGACAAAGTCTTCTTGATGCGCAGAGCTGTCAGTCTGGCTGCTCCGTTGGCATACCAGCACTCCCTCATGATCTTCCCCATCACGCGCAGTGACTGCGCAGCAAGAGGACAAAAGTGTTACAACATGACTTATAGCCACAGACATTTGAATGAGTCGCGATCTGTGCTTTTCAAACCAGCCTCTGTGTGTGAGAAAAATGTCAGAGTTTAAGGTAAGACAGACCTGTGCACCTACATCAGGGACATTAAATGTTGATTACTGCGTCTTGCACTAAGGCAATAACAGACTGTTGGACTGGCTCATTTATTTTGTATATTGAGGGCACCACTGCTAAGAATAGTACACTTTATGTAAAAAGCTGTTTTTCTGTTTTGTTTTTTAAGTGAAATTAAATCCAGAAATGAACTGATTTATCCAAGTTTTACTTTATTTGCTGGTAGCCAGCTCAGGGACATCATGAACCCCAAATTTTAACAATGGACGACTGAGTAGATAAAACTATTTTAATCCTCCCCCACAACACTGACTCAGAAGTTGGCAGTCTACCTTCATACTTGTAGACCAGAACATCTTGTACTGCCAAACTAATACAGCCCAACTGGTTCCATATACTGCCATTGGACATATTTTTAGAAACCACTAGTGCAGCTCTTCATATACATGGTGTGAAATACCTCATAGCTCTGCCACCAATTGGGCACATTGGGCCTCAGTTTCTGGTCACACACCACCTTCCTCATCTCTTCTATGGACGGGTCAGAGGGCACAAGGTCATAGTAGGGTAGCTGGTACTCCTCATGGATACCTGTAGTACATGACAGAGAAGCATTTTCAGTCTCAGATTTCATGTTTCTGTTTATTTGACCAACTGTATCATATTTATTTATATTGTGCTCTTACCTCCTGTGTTGCAGCGACGCGCAATCTCCCAATACACCAGGCCCAGTGCGTAAATGTCAGCACACTTGAAGGAGTCAAAGTGTTTCATGTTTATGGATTCGTCCAGGACTTCTGGAGCCATATACCTGAGGGTGGACACACACAGCATGAACAACAACTTTAGCACCACTAATAGAAACTGAAGTAAGATAACAGCCTCCCAACAAGTCTCAAACTTTCATTCCTTGTAATGCCCACTAGGGGGCGATACCTATGGCTGCAAAAAAGATTTCTGGTCCTCAGAATATGAGAAAAAACAGCCCTCACGCTTCACCCCAGTAAACACTTTCTTGATCACCGTCTGCCCTCGGTGACTCGTTTCTGGTCATGTTGAATTTTTGCATTATGCCAAGTTGTTGGCCAATGAGCATGCAGTTTCACAGTCAGCTCTCCTCCTCCTCAATAATTGAGCATGCAGTTTAAGATCACCAAGACAGCCATTGAGAAAAATCACATCTTAAGGCTTTAAAACAGGATTTGACAAACCACTGTGTGGTCATTATAGCTACTGCCATCTTTTACACTCTACATCACAGTACATCTATCTCACTCAAAGTTCTACCAAGGTCTCCCATTTCTGTGGTGCAGAGAATAACAGGGTATTACATCCAAGAGTGACTAGAATTATGAAAAAGTCAGAAAACTAAAATCCAGCTTTGCAAAGTTTTCACTTTCTGATATTCAAAGTATTAGAAGAAAAAAAAAGAAAGAAAGTTGTCAGATGTATTCTTTAAGGCCTCAGGGAAGACCTGTAAAATCCCCTGTGCGCTTTATCTACTTGAGTGCTGATAAGTATGGAAACATTTACCTCTTAGTGCCCACGCGCTGATTCGGTGCAATATCGATCGTGTCTGTGATAGACTCATGGCGGACAGCCAGACCTAGGTCAGCTATAGCACATGTGCCGTTCTTCTTAACCAGAATATTTTTGGACTTGAGGTCACGGTGAGCAATGCCAGGTTTACCTGCACGAGAACCAACACAACAGCATTACACTTGCATCAAGAACATGCTCGCCCTTTACATATAACATATCCACTCTGCAGACATGAAAGTCCCACCCTGAGTGCCTAGGATCTCCATGTGTAGGTGTGCCAAGCCGCTGGCAGCTGATAGCGCCAATTTGATCATCCCCTCAATGGTGACAGAGTAGCGATTCAGGTAGTCAAAAAGTGAGCCATGCTCATGATAGTCTGACACCAGCCAGAGTTGAGTCCAAGTGCCGTTGTCTGAAAGGGAACAAATGAATAACGTCGATCAAATAATCTACTCTACTTAAACAGCAGCGAGCTTGTAAAACATTTTATTTTGAAAAGGCCTAAACTTTTACTGTTGAGGGTTGTTTAAAGCAGCCTTCTTGTATTGTATCTTCATATAGCCAACAGTTTTCCTCACCTTTGTTGTCTGCTGCAATAAATCCTAGGATATTTTCATGCCGTAACATGATTGTCTGGTAGATTTCAGCCTCTCTAAACCAGGAGCGCTCCTCTCTGGATGAGAAGATTTTCACTGCTACGTCGCCTCCCCTCCACTTCCCGCGCCACACCTCCCCAAAGCGACCTTTTCCTATTATTTCCTGCAGCACAATAGTCCTGGCCACAGTCCGCTGCACAAACAGGGGCAAACCTGCAGAGGGGGCAACAGACAGGCAACAAATCAACAAGAGTTCCCTGATAAGTATCCTCACACCGTTATGGTGAATGTTACTCATTTGGGCATACTGATATATCTAAGGATGTATGGAAGCTCCTGCTTTTGCATACTGACCAGAGCCTGATCCAGAGGTGGACATGTCATAGATTAGGTCCTGGAGCGTCTTGTCCTTGGCCAAGTATAGATGGTCACAGGAGGGATCTTCTACCTCCAGCCGTTGTCTGTGGCTGTAGGCCCTCTGGTGATACTGGAACAGGAACACCCCGACCATCAGCAACACACAGAGCAGGAACACGGGCCCTGCAATCACTGCCACCAGCTCCACTGGCCCCCAGTTGCTCACTTGGGTTGACCATTCCCCCCCTTTGGTTGGGACTAAGACGACAAAACAAAACAAAAGAAATGGGTTAAAAAAATAAAAAAATAAATAAACAGTCACAATTGCTCTAAAGTATTTAATGAGGTCTCACCTGGGACTTTCAGGTCAATACTGTTGCAGTAATCTACATAGCAGCAGTGAGTATTGAAGAAACCTTCAGCACTCAAACAGTAGAACGGTTGCCCAGGAGGGACCAGGCTGTCCTGGTTGATGCAGACACGTACGTGTTCCTCCTTCCCATTGACATAATAAGTTGAAGCCATGCAGGCACCGTCTGTCTCGCACTCATAGCCTGTCTTCTCACAGTTTGTGCAGTTGCAATGTAAAGCTGAGAGAGTGAGAAAAAGAAAAGAAGTTTATCACCACGAGGTTACAGAGTCCTCTAGTTCACTTCTTCATTGTGCCCAGCAGGGGGCAAGCATACACCACTGTTTCAATACAAAATGTAATGAGGGTCCCTTTAAATTGTGGGCATATTATGACGTGCAGACACAGATCCTTAGTGTTCAGCAGAAGCAGCCAGACAGCCCTGAAATCAGATCCTTCACTGCAGATGAACCCAGACACGCAGGGTGGAGACAGTCCTGCCCGTCGGGACAGACAAAGTGAAACTCAACAAGGGGAGAGGGCTCCTGCCAAATCCCCAATGCAGCATTCTGCTCCATTCCTCTCCCGGCTTTTTCTCATCGACACCGAGAGCCGCCACTGTTTCAGCTAATGAGACCAGAGTTTTATTAAACACAGCACACTTCTGCGCAGGAACCTATTAAAAGGTGACACACTGGAACTCCTGCCGCTTTCACAATAAAACTACGGTGGTCCATATACGCGCAAACAAATGAGGTCAGTGCCTGCCACATCTAAAACAGAACCAGTACTGGTTGAGCAATCCAGAGAGCAAGAAACTGAAAACTGATTAGATTTGGAGTGAAATGTGATTTCGAGTCATACCACACATGCTTCTCATTTAGAGCAAGGCCAGCACATTGGGTTTCTTCTAAGGTTTACTCCTACCACAGCGCACAGCAGGGCATGGCATAGTTGGTTGTAGGAATGTGGAGCCGTTTTTATTTTTGGTTGTTCCTTTTACACAGGAAAACCCAAAATGAAAAACGTACTGTCAACACTACCGTGGGTGAGGCCAGACAAAGGCTGGACCACTTGAGACTAATCACTGTGGAATTAACAAAGACAAGACCACTATACCCTAAAACAACACAGGAGGAGACACAAAGAGAAGAGGAATTTCAATCCCTATTCTTCTTCAAAAAGAGGCTCAACATTGGTCGGACAGCTGACAATGCCTAGCCTAGAGGAAAGAAAGACGTTGAGAGTGGCAAAATTCCACTAATCCTCTGTGTCTTATACTAAAGGGCTTCTTTGACCAGATGAGCTCAGTGATCTTCTCTTTTTGAACCAACGAAGAGGTCGGCCAAAAGGTGTCAGCAGATTCCAGCAAATTAAGCAACTACCAGAGTAGTAATAAAAAATAATAAGTAATAAAAAAAAGAAAAAATTCAATGAGTGATATACTTATTGCAACATCTGCATGTAACATCCAAGTGGCCTAAACCACAAACCGTGGTGTCATAGCAGTGGTTTCCCCTGAACTCTTGAAGGTTTATTTCTGCGTGGGAGCATTTTTTGCATGTAGCGTGTACGCTGATGTGTCTATGCTTGTTCACCGAGTAGTAACTGGAAATGTGGAACACTTGAAGCAGAGTTTCAGTAATATTTCACATCTGGTTAGTGTGTGTGTGTGTGTGTGTGTGTGTGTGTGTGTGTGTGTGTGTGTGTGTGTGTGTGTGTGTGTCTGTCTCTTGTTCTTGAGGAGGTGAGTGGGAAAGTGACAGGAACTCAATGCTGAGTGTGTCCAAATTTCACTCAAGTTCGCATGCAGATGGAATTTCCTGCAGATTACACAGAGGTAAAGCAGGCTGGGCCTGATAAAAAGAGAAAAACAAGCCCTGTGCCACATCAGGCTAGTGCGTGGCAAATAGTTTAACAAAATAAAACCGATGACAGGAGCCATGGCTGTAGGTTTAAATGCAGGATGACACATTACTTCCATCAACATTCAGACAACCTGAAACACCTCTTTCCACCAGGACCATCTCTCCTTCATGTCTGCCGTTTATGGCTTTTCAGTAAAGCATATCAAATTTTTACCAAGTGAATCCAGACAAGAGCCATTTTCATCAATACGTTCTCAAAAGCAAGAGCAGCATTTAAAAGGAAATACACACGCAGCACATTTTAAGACAAAGCACCTCCTCACCACACTTAGGATTGTAAACCGAATCGCCTCACAAAACTCAAATTGAAGGCTATAAAAGTTTTTTTCATGACAAACATATTGCACCAATACACGATAATGAGCTAACAGGAGTGATCTGACAAGAACACGGTGATCTGAAATGAAAAGGCACATTCATCACTGGAGAGTCTGTGTGTGGTAAGACAGATGGCACACAGACACAGACAGAAGCTCAGGAAGGAAACCAAACATGGCTGAAAACACACACATTTGCTTCTCAACTCTACCATGGATGGTTTGCGGCCTACCAAGAGTTTGGTTTGTGGGAAGTCCTCCCTTTCATTTAGGGCTACCTCATGACTATACCATGTGTAGCCCGCTTCCACGCTGAGAAGCAAAAACATTATGTGTGTTCAGCACAGCAAAAACATGAGAGGATATTTATTATTAACTTGATGGTGATTGATTCACAAGTTTAGATAAACTGATCTGATGTTTCATTACTGACTAATGCTTTTATCTAAATGAAAACATCCTGTAAGTTGAACGCCCTGTGACTACAATGTATAACATTTATGCAATCAGCAAACAGGCTTAGGCGATATAAAAATCTGTCCACCAGCCGTAAACGGTTCTACTGGTGACTGTGTAATATTTATCGATATGTGCATGATGAAAAAACACCCAAATAAAAGTCATGAGCAGAAAGCCCGAGATGAAGCAATTAGGCGGAGGACATTTCTCTCACATCCTGTTAATAATGAACAAGCTGCTGGGAAAAACACACGTCACTAAACCATACGGGCACACGTACAGTTATTGATTTAGTTTTCAAATATAATTTATACCAATTGGACAGCAAACATTAAAACACACTCAAATGTCACCTCTGCTTTCTGAAAAACTGAAAGAGGGACACGAATGTGCAAAATATGGGCCGACTCAACTCATTAGCACAAGCTTTGAAACCTGCTTTACAGGTTCTTTATCTGCCAAGTTAGATCCTCATGGAGGCAGACCACCAAAATAGAATAGTAAAAAATTGGCCTTCAAATTCACTCCAAAAGAACAAACTGCTCAAGAATTCAGCCAACGCTCACCCGCCAATATATTCATCTAACTGCTAAATCACAGCCCCAAACAAAACTTTGCAAAAGATGGCACGAGGTAGCGGTTAAAAAAAAACAAAAAACAAACAAACAACAACAACAACAACAACAACAACAACAACAACAAAAAACCATCCAAAAAACCGAGATGAACATCAGGCAATGTGGAGTTCTGCTACTTAACTAATTCAAACAAAAAACATTTATCCAAATGCTGTGTTGTTTACACAGCGCTCTGCACATAGATTCAGAGCCAAAGTGTTACAAAGCCAGACTTGCAGGAATATTACCGAGCCTAAATACACTTGGATCTGAGGAAAAGGCCGTGTGTGTGAAGTTTGAGTGAACTCTGCTCTTGTATCCACATAATTGGTGGTCTTTACACTGGTCCTTTGTGTGGAGATTAAGGCGACATGAGGAGGGGATTGGACTGGCCCTACATGAACAAAGACTGGAGTGGGGGGTGTGCACTTTTGCGTGGGGGGATGGGTGGCATACAGGGGACAGCAGAGTGGGGTTACCAGTAACAACCCCGATGTTTGGGGGAGCTGCTCTGGGCCAGACAGGATGGGGGTTGGTCCCCATTTGGGAAGGACAATACAGAGGGGGAGGCGGCAAACAGGGCCCCCCAGCTGCGATTGAGGTCTGCCCAAGTGACCAGCTGCGACTGTCATTAAAACCCAGTCTAGACTTTAACTTATGGGAGGGAGCAGAAAAGGGAACACATGACAAAAACAGGGAGAGCAGAGCCTAAACGCAATCCCTTTGAGCCGTTAGCACGGAGTTCCAATCATTCCGTTCGTGTTGAGACAGGAAATGGAGAACACAGTCAGGAAAACATTATTAAAACTTTGTTGCCATAAACAGCGTTGCCTTAATTTGGCGGTCCTATGAACCTAACGAAATAAAACACAGAACAGCCCCATTCCACAGAACTTTACCCATAAACCACGATGACAGCGTTCAGCAGATGCATGCGCCGTTCAGACCGACTTGGTGGAAACAACGCTCTCAAAACACGACTGAAGTTCTGTGTACGATAACATAAAGAAAATACTGTAAATGTGTTTGGCGCAGGGCGGCAGGTTACACAAACACTGTGGGTTTCTGGGGGCTCAGACAGACAATCAGCACGTGTGCGTGCATGGGGAGGGGAGAACCATTACCAAAATGCACTGGCTGAAATTAGATCCATACAGATACCAGACTGAGAGCTGATCAAGACAAGCAGACGCCACCAGACAGTGTGAGTGCAACACACATACACAGGCTAACATACACATGCACACACCACAACTGTGTCCTAATCAATGCTAGGGGAAGGAGGAAAGTCATTACCTTTGTCTGCATCTCAGGGTCAGATTACTGATCTGATTCTAAAGTGAAGTCTCTGGGGCCGAGGCTGCTTCTACCATGTCTACCAACCACCAGCCTGAGGCTACATCCCTTCCTGTCTTGTCTGTTGTTCTGCTTGGGTTCAAAAGCACACGAGTGTGAGCACAGGTTCACTTTGGATTTGTTGCAGACACTTGTGCTCAGATTCCCAAACTGATTTCTAAAATGGTGGTAATATGAGTCAATGACATTTGAAGCTGCTTGAAACCCATCCTGGATGTTTGCAGAAGTGTCGTTTTTTTCCCCTCTTCGGTTACAATTATTTGTTAAACACAAACACTGTTTTCTTACAGACCAACAACTGGCGCCAAATACACTGCAGACACTTACACACATATTTTTAGTTTGCTTGTGTTTAGCCTTGATGTCAAGTTCTTCCTGTTAAAAGGGGAGTTTTGTCCTGTCCCACCATTGCCACGTGTCTGATCATAAAGGGCAGTTTCATAGTCCAAACTTTTTTTTTTTCCCCCTTGGTGATTTTTGTAGGGTTTCACCTTAAAATATTAAGCACCTTGAGGTAAACTCTTGTTGTGATCTGGTGTTACATAAATAAAACTGAAGTGACGCACTGAAAACTAAAGCTAATTTCCAAAACTCCTTGATTCTGCTGTAATTTGTATTTTCATTGCATAAATAACTGAGAAGAATGATCAGAATGACAATATATACATAGCACAACATATATATAGAAATTTCACATATGGCAAAAATATAAATTTTAGTTATGTCACTCTTTTCATTGTGAAAAAAGACAGATTAAGTTATTTTGCAGATAATCCTTAAGCTAATAATATTGTGAAACCAAAATAAAAACAGCCCAGACAAAATGCAACGTTGATCCGAGAACACCACAAGGATTTGGCATAAATCCAGCAGTTACCTTTAAAGCTCAAAAAAAGCAACTACTTTGCATATTCACACACTTACTCATAAGAAATTTTTGCTCTGTTTAAGCTACCAACACTATCTGAGCCCAGGAGAGAAAATAGGGTTAAATGGTATTTGAAGAGCTAGTTAGATAAGGCACTCTCACTGGATTCCAAAAGCAAAGGTTTTACCCTGGATCACACTAATCAAAGTAAATCATTGTCACGGAAGTATTAGAGAAAACTTGACAAGTAGACTGCATACCTTCTAGCAGAAAATTACAAGGCAGTGTGGGTCTGATCTAAATTCCAACAGCAGTCAGACAAAACAAAAAAGAAAAACAAATCAAAGAGACATGCAATGGAGGAAGCTGTCGAGTTTAGCTCTATAGACATAAATTAATGTAACTATCAAGTCTGTGGAAGCACGGTGAGAAATCACAGATCTTATGTCTGTGTATGCTTAAGATACGCCACAGAAACAAATGCAGGTTCATGAACAATATGCAAAAACTCTTTAAACAAAGACAAGTACTTTAGAGTAAATTGAAGAGAAGAGGACAGGCAAGAAGTTGGCTGGCTCTAAAGCGATAGTAATTTCTTGCGGTCTAGCATCAGTAATGGAGGAGCCGGGTCAGTCCGGGGCTATGCCGTCTGCTGTAGCAATTAGGGCTCTCTGCCTCCGGGCCAAAGGAGGTCATTAACAACACTGGTCATTATGGAAGGAAAACTAGACCACCCCGGACCTAACCTGACCCCGACTGGCTCAGTGCCACATTATGGAAATTGTTAGTAAACACAAATTGCAAAGGAGGTGGTGTCTGAGCCAGGAAGCAACCAGAAATTTTATACAGAGGATGTGATGCAACTTCATTTGATCACGACATAGCTGCAGGGATCTGGCAGACAATACAACTTATCTAGAACAGGTTTAAACAACTTCTACACACTGAGGGAGAAGGAACCCCCGCCCCTTTAAAACACGTTCTACTTTTCAAACTCAATCTTGCTTGAAATCCAAATGTCCATCTCCCCTCTCCTGTCCACACCGTCTTCTCTTTACGGGCTTACACCTTGGAACCTATAAAGTTTCAACCTCTCTGTACATTCTCCCTGCTCTGATCTAATGGGCAGGTATACGCATGTTCCAAACTGACTAGCTCACACAGCCACCACCTGAACTCTTTCACATCAAATTTGACATTACACAAGCACCTGCACCGTTTACCCCTGTAGAGTGAGTTCCCTGTTCAAACTGAAAGGAAGGCATGTTTTAGTTTCAAGCCACAACCACACGCCACAGACACGCAACATTATCCATTAATCTGAGTGCACCTGAACAGGTCTACCTTACATCTTAATGAGCACTACGGCCTTTTTCCATAAAAGCAGCAGACCAACAACACTCTACTATCTAATTCTGAAACCTATATACTTGCATAAATGTATAGGCATGCGTGCAATTACAATGTGTTGATGTAAGCCACTGTGAATCATGCCGTTGCCTGCTGTGCATCTCAGTTGCTCATAATGAGAAGGGGGGGAAAGAATCCTTCTGAATACACTCATGTTCGGTCACTATGTTGCAGTCAGAAAACTCTGATCTAATGCATTCTGTTATTCACACATAGGCCACTAATGTTCATTTATTTATTTAACACATTCAATGTGTTAAATAAATGATGGCAAGAACATTATACGCTCTATTTGCCTCCTATTGGATATCATACCTCACTAGATGCATGATATCCAAATCTCACATGTATGTGGTTCTATCCATCAACGTTGTATGTGTAAAATAAATGAAGAAACATTAATAAGCCATGTCTGAATAACAGAAGGCGGTCATTTTACCAGAAAGACAGCAGGGTTATGCATCCATGACTAAAGAGTGGAAAAGAGGCACATCAGGAAACGACAATAGTCTGGCAGGCCTGGTGATTGTATGTTGAAGAGCTTCCAAAGGTGAGTTCAAAGGTCAAGAGATAGCAGGAGCTCATCTATCCAATGGCCTTCCTCTAACCTAGAGATAAAAAAATTAAAAAAAAAAACCCAACCCAAACTAAAGCTTTCTTCACCACCCTGTTAGAAGTAAGTGAATGAAAGCAGAAACGGGACCACAGACAACAAAGTACAGATTAAATTCTGACAAAGCAGCAGGCTTTTATATAAGTGAGATGGAGAATGTAGAGAGAAGGGGAGGGACGCGCCCTACCTAGCGGCACTGTGGTTGACAGTGCCCATATCACATTGCTACTTTGTTCAATTCACCCAGTCTGACTGCGTCACGTAGACATGTAATGCCCATAACACCAGTGACTCCTAATCCTCGTGAAGTCAACAACACGTGACAGATTCAAACCTGTGAGTAAAGCATATTCTCACAAAAACATACTCGCGCAGGCCTGGAATCTGCTCCAGCGAAGCAGCTTTCAGGTTTGTCTGGTTTCAGCCTGTGCATGGTGTAATCCATTACATAGGGAGAAAGCAGCTCATGATAGACTCGTGGCCCCCCTTGCATGACAAACCCTGCCAGATGGACAGACCCATTATCACTGTGTGTGTCTGCACCGGTCACAGACCCACCCCCAACTCTCCCCCTTCACACATCTCTGTTAATGTTGGTGTAACCCAGGCAAACAAACTGGCCACTCAGGTGTGACAATTTTCCCAGCATGCCTTGAACTGATCAACCTTAGTGTACTGCGCCCTTATCTAAACTTGTGGGGGAGGAACAGTTTTTATGATTCTCGGAAGGATGACTCAATTGTTTAGCACAGTACACTTTAATGGATAACAAATGAAGCAAAGATTGATTGATTGATTGAATCTTTATTTTGAACATGTTGAAAAAGTATAAAAAAAAAAATAGAATTAAAAGAGACAAATGAACAAAGCAAACAAAAGGAAAACGAGCAACCACAACTCCAAATAAGATCATTTTTTCCCCCTGGCACACGGATCATTTTAATAATAAGTGTATCCAGTGAGTGGCAAGTTGAAACAAAGGTGCAAAACTCAAAGGAAGAGAACAGAGTTTTTCATAAAACAAGACATGCTTGTGTCTAACCTACTGAAGCATAATGAAAGTGAAGGGACGTTTGGAGCAAACTTAAAGGTCAGTAGATGCGCTGAGGGGCCAAACGCTCTGTGCTTTGGCTGAATATTTGGTGATATACTGTGTGTGCTGTTACATATAGTGATATATTGTGATGTGGTGCTGTTGTGTGAAGCTGGGCATCAGCTGCTCCAGCAGATGGGGAGGAATCGGACTGAAGAAGGACCATAACTGGCGCCTCAAAAGACCCCACTTGCCACATTTCCATCACAATGAACCCAGACTTCAACTCTGACTTCTGTCTGGGATGGCTGAATGTACGGCTGCTGTCGCCCTATGCCAGCATTCACTTTCTGCTGTGCAGGAAGGAAAGGGGGGGGTGGGGGTCCACTAAGCACCCTTTTCACTCTTTACAAATGGAAAGCGATGGCAGAGCTGCCAGTGTTTACCCTCAGAAAACACATTTCATGCACAAAGTAGGTTAGGCCTTCATTCAGAGGCTCCTTTCTGCTCCTTCCAGCGTGGAAACCAGTCCTCACAACATGTGACGAAACTGTAACTGACCACATTACGCAAATTCAACCAGCCAGCTATCATTATACGATGTCCCCAAGCAAAACAGCGATAAGCAGTCACAAGCCAAAAAGACACTATTTTGTAAATAAGTTAGCATAACAGCCACACAAGAGATTAACCTCAGCATCAACAGCACCATGTAGACTACTATTCCTTGCTTGGGGTGTTCGTACAGAATAATAAAATCATATTTATATCAGTTTTGTATCCATTTAATAACACAGATTTATCAACATTATTGAACTTTAGCTAGCAGACGTTAGCTGGCGCTTCGGAACAGACAGCCCCACCATGTTGTTGTTGTGGTTGTTGTTGGTTTCGCTACTCGTGTTCAACAACAGCTCAATTGAATTTGTCAGCGGATAAAAGCCAAAAATATCGATAAATCATCAAACACGGCACGGCAGCCGGTTCGACCAAACAGCAGCCATGGTTTTGAGGTCGACGCTAGCAAGACACGGCTAGCCAAATCCGCGATAGAGAGCGCCATGACGATTAGCGACAACAGGCGATGCCCAGTCCAGGAAAACACATCGAGACAAAAGCCGGAGAGGTGCTCGGATGAAACTTACCATTACCGACGGCCACCAGCCCGAGCAGGGCCAGCAGCGTTGGGGCAATTTGTTTCAGAGCCATTTCTTCATAACTCCCATCTCTCCCGCGATGAAATGCGTCGTAAGTGTGTCGTTATCAACACGACCAGACCTGAAACACAACCACAGTCCAACCGCACACCACCACCGCCAGATACTAGCCAGCCTGCCAGCCAGCCGAGTGACGTGTTTAAAGGGGTGTGTACGTGCGAGTTTAAAGGGGAGGGCTGAGGGCTGCACGTCCCCTTCTGCCCCTGAGGTCAGGGCTGTGTGGTAAATAAAGCGGTGGGCGAATTGCCTTCTTCCAGTTTCACATCATCTAAAGAGCAGGAGTGATCACTGTGTGTGTTATTTATGATAAATTAAAAGTGCTTTTGGAAATTAGGTGCCTGGATAATATTCTAATGATTGATGTTAAAATGATCTGGGATATATTAAGTCAAATCTTCACTATCCAGTAATTGCAGTGTGTTTTTCATGATTATATATAATACCAAAAAGAGCCTTGTGAGCTCAGTTCATAGCTAACATTGTGCATTTGATGGTTTAGCTACTAAAAATGTATGACCACGCTCAGGTGCTGCTTTCACTGAAATCAATCTGTTTTCTTTCTGTGAATTTTTATGTCTCAGTTCACTTTTTCCAAATATATATTTTCAAGCAAGTTTCTTTTTTTATTGAGCTCTGTGTATTATGTAACATGAAAGAAAACAACAAGTGAACAAACTGAGTGTAACTGGCAATGTTTATCATTTCTGAAAATGAAAAATAATGTTGGTGTGTATGTCTGTGAAATGTGACTAAATGTGTTGCCACAACTGGCTTTAATGTGTGTAAACAAAGTGCATCTAGGGCTCTATAATTTATTTATTTATTTTTATGCATGTGTTTCAGCTGCAGGATGAATTAATCTTCAGCAAATATGCTGTGCAGATTGCGTTTATTACTCATAGCTGTACTTTTGGTGAACAAAAATCTATTTAAGGATCTAACTGGGTCAAACTGCTTTTCATTAGAATTATTGCTCAACACTTAAATTCATCAGGTAAAACAAACATGAAACAAAATAACACCTTTTTCATGTTGATTGCTTAAAAACACTTAAAATTTTGACATAAAGTCACAGCTGTTAACACAATGTTCTGTCAAAATTTCATGCTGTGAAGTCACCAAGCTTCTTCATAGGAACGGTGATCTAATGGAAACGGACCAGGAAACCAGTGTGAGTGACAAAACCTTTATCTTATCATGGATTGTGATTTGGATGCAGAACTTGAAATCGCAGGCCCCATGAGAGGAGATGATTCTAGGCCTCCCTGCATTTGACTGGAATTAGATTAGTAATACTCTGCTGCACTCAGATGTTTATCCACCCATATTCAGTGATTGATTCATTATCAGACAAATCCCCCACTGATATTACAGCCATGGGGAACAACATCTGACAAATGTATACTCGTTTGCTGTTCCCTGATCAAAGCGCATGAGGTAAATCTGGTTCAAATCTGCATAAGAGACCATTTTATTGCTTTATTTATATATATTTTTTACTTGATCTCAAATCACATCTAAGCCACTGTATCAGATTTTGAGAGAGAGTTACATCCGTTTGCAATTTCCAGTCCGAAAGTGTAAAATAATCGTGCATCCAAAGATAGCACAAGGTGTTTTGGTCCAGCTCTATTCAGGATTGTTGTCTCTCCTCAGGGACCAAACCTGTCTATACTAATACATTCATCTGCCTCCAGCTGAGAATGTAGCTCAGGAAGAGGTGAGCCAGGCTGCAACCAGGTGCATTAGGGACTTTCTCTGTGCCTGCTTTTATCACCTGTCCTCTTACTAGCACTCTCACTGATCTATCCTTGAGCCTAACTGTGTCTGCACAGCCTCCTCTGTGGCTTTATATCTGTCCATTATCGGCCCTGTCCAATTTATCTGCACATTTCTTCAGCGGGCATTGTCTGCTGAACAAATCTCTCCTGTCTCTACAGAGCCACTGGGAATGATCCCACAGTGAAAAGGAATACACAGAGGAGGAAAACACAGGGAGATGTGAGATGGGCTTCTGCACTCACTGACACACAGCTTGGCCTCTCTGATACTTCAACAACCCCCTGCAGTGTTAAAAATAACCAGCTCCTCATCTGACTGACCAGACAGACTGGGACTTCAAGGGAGTATTATCTCACTGGCATTTGTTCAACAACTAGGAAGACAGACAACACACACACACACACACACACACACACACACACACACACACACACACACACACACACACACACACACACACACACACACAGACATAAACAGATAAAGAGCAAGCATGACAGATGCAGAAAGAAAACATTGGAATGCTAATATTACGCAAAGGGGATGAAGCCGAAAGTCTTATTTTCACCAGTGACCAGGCAACATTTTAAAACTGTTGCACAGTTTTAATTCCCATTGGACATTTCTTATTCTTTTTGACATTCTGCTCCAGTGCTTAACTTTCAACATATTTTCTATGTGTAGTTTTTTATGTATGTGTGTATTCATATATGTATGTTCCTCCTTTTGTAACAGGATCTAAAAATTAGTTTGAAATAGAAGTCCTCACATTCAATATTTCCATAAAGGAAATCCAAAGCAGAGAGAATATTGAGGCAATTATTACTCAACTAAATCATTTGACCCAGAGAAAATGTATTCAAACAATACACTGAAGGTCACATGAGAGCTTTTTAAATGTAGCTCCTACAAATTGTAGAGAGACTCTCTAATTATCTGATGAAGAATTTTTTTCATCTTAATTTTAAGATACACTGCAGATAAAATAAAATAAAATAAACAAACAAAACACTACACAAATCTCCCATGTAAGGAGTATGGATTCTTGTTTGTCTGATGACCTCTGCTGGTCAATGTGAGAACTGCAGTAATAGGTGCTTAAAAAAACGTAAAGCAGAAATATTTCCAAAATATAATTCTTTATTTAAGGTATCCATTATTACATGTATGTGAATTCCTTTACTGATCATAGTGGTTGTGATGGTACATTTTAGCCTTACAAAAATGTATGAAAAAAGTTGTTTTTAAAAAAAATTTTTTTTAAAGCAACATTAACACAGTCTCATTTCTGAATAGTAGAAAACAATATCTCTCCTGAAACATATTTACAATATGGTTGCAAAAGAAGACATCAAATTTAATTCTGTTACATAAAAATGTATTTACATCTAAATATCTCACTGCTTTTATGTGCAGATAATATATGCTTAGTTTAGTTAAGTTAAACATACTTACAGGACAGGTAATGTACTTTCATTTGAGTGTATAAATACTTACATATTTCCTGTCTTATCTGTGGTTTTAAGGATCATTGGTCATTTTGGGAAAATCCACATTATACCTAAGAGAATGATTTTCCATTCTGTCACAACAATGAGAGAGTTAGACAAGGAGTACAAAACTATGTTAACTGTTTTGTGATAATTAAAAATAACTGGCCTAAACCTGAACTAACTGAAATGTAGCTCCCTCATTTATAGAGGTATTAAGTATCATGGTGGATGAATGTTTGCGTTTGCAAAAAATATAACATTTGGTACAAGAGGCTCTAGATGCTTCTACACAAAGTCATATGGTTTTAATATGATACAGACACCGAGTGAGTGATTAGATCAAAATATGGTAATGATATGCACTTCATTTGTTGGAATGTGGTGCAAAATCCCTTCTGGTGTTTTCAATCCAGTTTCCTCGTTTCAGTCTAGAAATCCTGCTTCAGTTTTTCAATGCTGAAGTCGTCGTGGTCCAGTTTGGAGAGAGTCTTCCTTATTCGCAAGGCTGTAAGGCGGGCTGTTGGGTTCTGGTACCAGCACTCCTTCATGACCTTCACGATGGCTGACAATATCTTAAAAAGGCAGAAAAAATATAAAACACCACATTTCCAAAATGTAATTGTACTTTTGCGTTCATTTTTATGTCTACTTGTGTGTGTCTGTTTATGCCAAATAGCCTACTGGGTGAGAATGGAGTCTGTTGTGCAGACTGGGCCTCTGCTGGTCCACACACACCACCTTTTTCATCTCCTCAAAGCTGGGATCCGAGGGCACCAGGTCAAAGAAGGGTGGACGGTAATCTTCCACAATGCCTAAAAAACCCCCCAAAGTTAAACAGTGGATCACTTGTTCCCCTCTTGTCATTCAGTGGGGTGATCAAGCAAAGTAAGATGTCAGAATTATCAAATTAAAAGCCCAGTGAGGTGTCTTGTTGTGAGGGTTATCTCTTCATACATCTGCGGAACACAAATGTGTTTTCATATGAAGCCTGAAAGAGCACACTCAGAGACTCAGACAGGCTGCGGTGGGAGTTTTGTAAAGCATGTCTCGCTAAACAAGAGAACGGGGAGAGATATGAACTCCCTGGTGACTACATTGGGATGGAAATCTGGAAGTCATGCACACACACGCATACACACACACACAGTCATTGGTGCATGGCTGTGTGCTTGCATATAAAAATTGCATGCACGGGCATCTGGACTATGTACAAGTGAGTGCTGACACCAGATAAGACTGTTTATAATTACTGCAGTGCTAATCATGAGAGAGGATAGCAGAGGCAGACACAGACTAGAAAAACACTGGCCTGCTGAGAGACATGGGACTGGCTGCTTGTTCTATATACTCTACAAAAGCAGACAGACGTGTGACAAAGAACTTGTTTTTAACACGCTCGCTCGTGTGATGCATTAGCTTCATAACAAATTTGTGGATATATATCTACATTTGCTTCCTGAGGTTTAATCTAAGGCCAGATTTTTCTGCTAATGGATGGAAAGGCATAACATTAAAAACAGATCACTGTTAACCTACCATTGACAAGAGTCCTGCGGGTAATTTCCCAAAAGACCAGCCCGAGAGCCCAGATGTCAGTTTGCTTATAGGACTCAAAAACATCCACACGGATAGTTTCATCCAGCACCTCAGGGGCCATGTAGCGCTTGGTCCCCACGCGAGGGTTATTGCCCATATCGAGGTAGTCATGGGACTGAGAGTGTATCACTGCTAAACCTGAGGAACGAATGAACACAGAAAAAGCTTTTAATTTACAGTACAAAACACACTACAAAATGCATCTTTAAAGAGCTCTTTCTCTAAATACATTGCTATAAACTGTTAGC